AGGCAGGTTGTAAATGCATTATCGGAATGATTATTGAGCCGAAATAAACATGTTTGGTCTTACTAAGATCAGTGAACAAACCCTTTTCTCTGATCAGCCTTGAGTAGACGTAACCGCACCCGACTACCTTGCGAAATCATCTACCGGAGTAACTGCACACAGTAGCAAGGCATCATCGAACATTTGATACATTTATTTTGAAAGTTGACAAGCATTAATGTATAATGTTGAAAGAAGCGAAGGTAGAACTGATTCATACATTAATTCACGCTGTTTTCTAGAGAGGAAAATTTGGTCCGGCCCTTAAAAATTGAATGCGGCGTGAGTTGACTAACCAGAGCAGAATACTCTGATTAATGTGGAGAATGCATATAAATATTGCATTGAAGGAGTCATGCATTATTCGGTACTTTCCAGCGTACGAACTTGCGATATTTATACTTTAGCAAATAGTGCATTAGCTCCTTAAACATCGTTGTGATGAGCGCGAGGTCGCTGTAGCTAACAGAATGATGTGCATTGTAGATTTTCAAATACCATTGAATCCTAGCTTACTTAAATGGTTCTCTTAACAAATGGGAGCAAGCGGCGATATAATACGCCGTGAAATTTGGTCTTGGCGACAAGACTACAGTAATTATATATAACTTAATGATCGTTTGGTTTATGGTACTACATAAAGCCGAAAATGTAATGTCAGCTGCTCTTTACAATAACGCTTCTCTGCAAATTTTCTGTGTGATATGAATGCTTATTGAAGGAAGTAACTGAATACATAACCTGTCTGTTCAAATCCAACGTAATATCTCTCTCTGAAATCGGGCAGTAGTATATCCCGCTGCAATGCTTTCGGTGTCGGAGGCAAAGGGTTAGTATGCGCTCGTTCCGTTGTCTCTTAGTAATGTCTTCATTTTCTAAGCTGCGTTGATGCTTATGCAGAATTCGATCCTGGAGTGCCAGAGTTCAAAGGCATACCAAGACAGCCTGGCACTATGTAGAAACGACATGGTGAAGTATATGCAGCGCGTCTATCCGTTGTTGGTGAAGATACAAATGGAAGCGGTGGCGAGCTACGGCTTTAGCGGCGACTTTCAGGGTAACTTACTCGATTTTCGATTTTCGTTCCTGCTTTGTTTGAACATATTGTTCGTAAAAGTAGGTCCAGGGCTCTGAACTGCTCCTTTCATAGTTTTGCACTGATCGGTGAAGGTTGACGTTTGATGCCAAACAGATTAGTTTCTCGATGTATGTCTTTCGAAAATTCTTCAGTCTTGGTATAAACATAAATTTCAACTTTCAGTGGATATTCACGATGTATACTTTTTATAGTGCAGTGACAGTATTTCAACCGACTGAGGTAGCAAAGTTATTCAGTCTGTACACTCTGCTCACATTATTCGACCGGCTGAAGACCGACATATGGTCACAGAATATTGCCATTATACTGTTTCCAGTGCAAGTCGTGAACAACCGTGGCAAAGTATGATTCTTCGTACAGGTTGTATATCCCTACTCCGAAATTTCGAAATTGAAATAGGCCGAAATCCGTAACGTTGTCAGTCCTGAGTTTTTTTAAAATATCCTTAGATAATATTAACAGCAGCCATAACAATCAGGAAAGAGCTCTCCTTCTGTCCCTAATGAATGCCGGATGGTCAAACGCTGTTGGTAGTTCTCGACGTCCCATTCTTGAGCGCATTTAGTCATTACTCATTTTATCAACAGGGTCAAAAGGGAGAACACGTCAAACATACCCTATTTTCGTGCTTGCATCGTATCATGGAAACATTCATTAACTCCTGACTTCCACCCCTCTTCTTTTCCTTCCCCTTCCCTTCCAACCTATATAAATTGTATGAACATGTCTTTCCGTACCTGATGTTGTTGCACTGCAACGAAACCCGGGTCGTTTCAGTTTCTGAAATAACTGAGTGAATTTTTTTTTCATGTGATTTATAAGGAGTTGCTACGCCGCTTTCTGGAACATCCGTATCTTCCCTCACAGCAGGCAGCGCTTCGGAATAGGAATACGTTTTAGGCCATAAATATTTTTATTGAAATGAAGCAGATTCATTATTTTGTGTGTTAAAGTGAAGAATTTGGGTGAGAAAACGTGTTAAATAGTTTTAATAGTTTATATTTCAGAATTTTGTGACCCGCTGTGAGTTTCATAATCGATTCCCTGAATTTGTTTTCAGTTCTGTTCAAATTTACCATGTCATGTGTTCCAAAATCCGGAACAATCCAAAATCTGAAACAGTTTTGGTCCCAAGCATTTCGGATCAATCTTTCGGATGCTCAACGTGTACTTGGTTGGGGTATGAAGTAACTTTTCAGCGGATCAGTTATGAGCTTAGATTGAACCGTCCTTCAAAAAGTGCTGAGTTTGGGTGAGTGACTGGTCTGTTGCAGAGTGAGAGTTACCAGCGTGTCAGCCTGCTGCCTTGCGATAATACAAAGAACAATGTCATGCAACAGTACCAACCTAATTTATACTTTGTGTTTATCACATTGAACAGTCAGGTGCATTGAGGTGAATTGCAGCCTCAAGAGGCGCAAGAATCGAACTGCATGGCCAAGGGATTTCCTCGCCAATCCTGTTACGAGTACATTAGAACACCATGCGGTCGTTGTTGACTGCTGGCCAACCATTTGCTACTCCTTTTTGGTTCCATCGAAGAAACGCGGGCTGAATATTTCGCTGAAAGGATTTATAGATGAAGCAAAATGCCTTTCTTTTGTGGATTCGAAGCGGACTTTTTGCCACAGTGCCATCCCCGCTTAAGCTCGAAGGAGCGGTGAAAAATAGCCAGATTCAGTTTCGCTATAGTGTATTGTGACACATTTGACCATCAGTGATGCGATGTCTTAGTAATCCGTTGACGACGCCATCTTTAGGTTGCATCGGTAGTGAAAATCTGTGAGTGAGCGGGCATCGCTTATTTTAGACAGCCTGCTGTTTGGCTAAAGATGATGATGGCACAACTGCAAGAGATATACAATCTAGTCACCTCTGACACCGAAGCTTCGAAGCGGAGGTTTCAAGCTTAAAGAAAATTGACACCATATTGAGGAATCGTAGGCTGTGTTTAGACAGTGAGAAACGCACTGAGAGGCGCACTAGATAGAAAATTTTCGAAAGTTAAGGCACGCATTCCAGTTTTAAATTTGACACAATGCAGGATAAAGGGACTAAAATCACACTACTACAGAGGTTACTTAAATAACGCTGCCTCGAAGAAAACGACATCTAATATTTTAGTGAGAAGTTTCACCAAAGATGCGGTTAAGACTTTGGGTGTCTTCTTACCAACGCAGTTAAAGTAGTCCTTTTCGGGGCGTCTTTTTCGGTTACCTTAGCCAGTCACAGTATTACGTGTATGTCAGGCAATCGAAGTAATCAGGTTTCTAGTTACAGTGTCACACGGCATGCTGCAATGTCACACACTCACTTTGAGTGTGACAGTCATTACGGTGTCAGACTGTCATGTACAGGTGCAGGAGTGACAAGTTCAGACAGCGAGTTTCGTTCATTTTGTGACGGACAGACAAAGCGTCAGAGAATTATTTACTTTATCTTCGTTTGCTGCTGTGTTTATTCACCAGTCGCGCTGGCAGATGGCTCGTAACAGTGCCGGATAGTCAGTCAGTACGTTCGTCACACTATCGGATTATCAGGCACGGTGACGGAGAGCGAGCCTTAGTGACAGTCAGGTGTAGTGCCTTTCAGCTTGCATTATGTCCTTCGTGCAGTTAGTCAGTTATAGTATAAGTCATCCAGTTAGTCACAGTGTCAGAGGGTTAGTCATGGATTTAATTATGGCAGTATTAAACAATCAGATACTGCGAGACAGGTACAGTGGCACACATACAGTCACAGTGATACTCAGCGCTACGCCAAGTATTGGATAATCAGTCAGTTCCTCACTACTGTTTTGTCAGTCGCGATGTAAGTACTGGATTTCGCAGTGAAACATAATGTCGAGTATTCTTCTAAAACATCACTTAGTAAGTTACAGTTTCAGTGAGTTACTTAATTAGACAGTTTTACGTTACAGTTTTAGATGGTTAGGTACAGCTTGAGACAGGCAGTCTCAATGTCAATCAGTGAGTCACTGTGTAATATGGTTTGCAGCAGTGTTAAGCAATCAGTCACCGCGTCATACAGCCAGTCACAGAGTGAAACAGCTTGTCACAGTGACAGACAGTCAGTCACAGTATTACTAAATGAGTCATAATTTCGTTTAATCTGTCACAGTATAAGTCGCACATTGCCGTAC